AATCAATCATTAACTACCTCAACACTTAAACCTTTTAACTCCTAAACACAAGCCATGACAAAGCTGCTACATGGAGAAATAATATGAATGTGATACTCTGAAAGACTTGATTTTTGTCCAAAATTAAAAAAAAAAATCAGTAATTTTTTTTATTATCATTTTTAAACACAACATCATCTAGGCTATTCATAAATATATAGGTTTCATCTTTTATCTTGAAAGAAAAGTCAATAACCTTATCCAAGAGCGATTAAAAATCAATGAATAATGTCTTGGAAACAAACAACATTTCATTTGTGTATAAATTTATAACTATATGAACATAAGTATAGATTTTTCTTTAAACAAATGTTATAGTATAGAGTTTAATTTGAAATAATGATAATTATTTATTGTATTTTTGCATAAGTTATTTATGTTTGGAATTAGCATAAAATAAAAATTTTTTTGTCAGTTTCTTCCTAAAACTGCTAAAGTCCGCTGGCATAGACTTGATCGATATGATTTTATTAAATCCTAATATACATATATTATTTAAAAAAGAAATCAGCTGCATATATAATTATTCAAACCAACTTTAAAGCACCCAAAATATACCTATTTTATGTTATCGAAAATACTAGTGTGTCTATTTTTGTTTTATTTTTATAAATACATGTTCAAAAACTTTTTTTTCTCTATACAATTGTACTTGATACCTAAAATATTAAAAATAGTTCTAGTATTCATTTTTATTTTATATATTATTTAATGTGCTGTTTCTATTTTTATCTTGTTTCCTTACTTGGAATGATTGGTGATTTTTTCTTTTTTTATTTTTAACAATTAGTTTTTATCAAATGGAGCAGTTTGGCTTTTAACTTGAATATTATTGGTAACAAGTTTATAAATTCTTGATATGCGAATATGGTTGCAGCATCATTTTCATTTTCAGAAAGACTCAAATATCTAGAGTTTAATGCGCTACTTTCAGTGCAATATTTTTTTCAATTTCTTCTGTGTATATCCTATCTAATATTTCTCCTCCATTTTGAATTCTTTTAGGTAGAATGTAACCAGGATAAAGCATATTGATAAATTTTTTGTGTTCAACTGTTCTTAAGCTAGAGTTTGTACTGTATATAAATCTACCAAGCAGCAGATCAATTAAATCTTTCTCTGTGGCTTGTTAGTGTGAAAAACTATTTTCTAAAATTTACTAAATGAAGTTGAAGTGGACTGAGACCTTTTGATTTTTTATTATGTAATGTTGATGGCAAATTATCTGAAAATGAAATTGCAGGATATTAATTAATTTTAATTTAGTATGTGTATACATTAGATTAATTTGGATTTAATTTAGTTGCTTTAGGAGTAAAACAAATATATATTTTTTTAAATTATCAATTTAAAAGTTTACATTTTAAGTAAAAAACATAATTTATATTAGGATGCATTAGTTTAATTACCTTTAAAAATTTTTTGATCTTCTACTGACTCGATAATTTCAAAGGATTGTGGCTGGTTACATTTCTCAAGATGTTTATGGATCCTTTGAATTTCACATTTTTTTTCCTGTGTGCGTTATAAACTGTACTACAGTTCTTTCTTTTTTGAGCTTGTGTATTTTCTAACCAGTTCATATCACACTTGGCAAACTCAGTAAAGTTTTATGTTATTAATTATAACATAATAATTTAATAACTTTTCCTAAACACACACATAAATTCAGTATTTGCAAATCCAAAAATTTTCAACAGGCTAAATAAAATTGAATTTTACTAATATTTCAGCACTTACTTCATAAGTCTAATGTAATATATACCAAATGAAAGATTTTCATGTTTACTGTTATATTTTTAAAGAATGTTGATTATTTAACATTTTAATTGATTTAAAAACTAATGATTTTTAATGGGCTCAAAAATTTGCCGATATACTGAAGCATTTCACATTTTTCCTAAAATATTGTTAATTTATTGATGTTATAAACAAATAATTTGGAGAAATAATTAAAAAGCTTCATTTATAAGTGATTGAGGTCATGGGGTATGAGAAAAGTATAAAATCTCCACTGGATTTATTAAACTTTTCACTGGAGATTCTCCAATGAAAAAGTTGATAGCGATATCAGTTGAAATGGAAATTTATTTTGTAGCACAATTTTATTGAAGGGATACCAAAAGACAAGTTGTGTTCATATTAAAGAGAATTATAAAAAAAATGTTTGGGCTGAATTTTTTTGAATAAAACAAAATTATAAACATGTATAAGGAAAAACTAACGGGTCACAACTAAAATTTTGCCCAAACTTTGGGATAATGTCAATAAAGATCTGCTTTGTTTATATTTTTAAAATTTTAACAGAATATACTCAAAAGCATTCTCTATTCAAATATATTTTTAAATAGTTTGTATGATTTGTAGTTCAAAAAATATCACGCTATAATGTATGAAGATCTAAAATCCATTTTGTATAAATACTATCAAAAAAACCATGGACTGGGGCGAAAACATATTTTTGATAAATTTATCAGCATGGGAGCTCCAAAAAGGACTTTAAATCATTGGCTTAGCATGCTGGAACAAAATAAAGTACTAACTAGGAAAAAAGGAAGCGGTCCTCCGACCACTATAGCGACTGCAAACAACATACGTAAGATGAAAAATTTCTTCAATCATCGGAAGGGCTGCTCACAGAAAAGAGTAGCTAGCAAGCTAAAAACGACTCAGCAATACGTTTCAAAGATGCTATTGCAAAGAACAAATATCAGATGTCTAAAACGCATTGTCAAACCAAAGATGACAGCCTTACAAGTCAAGTTAGCAAGGCCAAAGTGTGGATGACTTTTCCTCAAATTTCGTGATGTCGATTTTATTTTGGATGATGAATCGTACTTCACTCTTTCCAACACAACTTTGGCTGGGAATGACCAATTTTACTCAGATGATATTCAAAAGACTCCTACTGATGTGAAGAACAAAATGAAGGCAAAATACGAGTCAAAACTACTTGTTTGGGTGGCAGTTTCACCTCGAGGAATGAGTAGTGTCAAATTTTTCAAGTCTGGCCTGGCAATCAATCAATATATTTACCGTGACGAGTGTATACGAAAGAGGTTGATTCCTTTTATTAACAAATACTATAGGGATGGTAAATACGTATTCTGGCCCGATTTAGCTAGCTCCCACTATGCAAGCTCAGTCCACGCCGACCTCAGAGACAAAAAAGTCAATTTTGTACAAAAACAAGACAACCCAGCAAACGTCCCGAAAGTCAGGCCAATTGAGGATTTTTGGGGATTTTTGAAGCAGAAAGTGTATGAGAAGGACTGGCAGGCTAAAACTATCACTCAACTCAAAGCTAGAGTCAGTCTTTGCCTTTGTAATTTGGACAAAGACCTTATACACCGCACCTTCAGCTCGGTACACAAAAGACTCGATTTTGTCAGAAGGAATGGAATCGAAAAACTTTAAAAGACATTTTTTCTAACACTTAAAATTGTTGTTTATAAAATGCAAAAAACCGTTTTAAAAAAAATTGTAAAATGACTGAGATATCTTGTTTTAAAAGTTGGGCAAAATTTTAGTTGTGACCCGTTAACTTATTTTGTTTTATTTTAAGCTTGCCTTCTCCATAGACTTTATAAGTTATTCAAGTGTGTTTAATTCCAAAGAGTTTTAGTATATGATGTCATTGTAGGATTTCTTTTTTTTTTTTTTCAAACTTTAATATGTGGAAAGCGCTTCCTTTACATATACATTTATGATAAAAAAAAAGTCCCTCTGGCAAATACAGCTTTCTTGTATCATGCAAAGCATAATGGTTTTGTTGTTGTTTAAAAGATTTGATACAATCAATAATACTATTAACAAATATTTTAAGAAGATAAGAGGTTAGCTAGTATATTTGCCTATTTTGAAATCAGTATTTATTAAAGTAAAAAACATGAAAATACACTCAAAACAAGTTTTTATGTTTACAATGGAAGATAAAATTATAAAATAATGGAGGATAAAATTATAAAACAAGATTTAGGCAAAAAATTGACTTGGTCTTGAAATAGTGGCATTAAAAAAAGGCGCAATAAATATGCATCAACCTTATATTTTATTTAAATAATTCATTAGTGAAAGTAATTAAATCTCACAAAATGTTTATTTTCATTTACTCATTAATCATAACAAGAGATCCTTATATTATTTCTATTCTTGTTTTTCTAATGCCAAAAATTAATAAAATAACATTGGTAAAAACTGAAATATTAACAGTATTATTATCTTATGTCACTTTGATTCAATAAGAGAATTAGTTGTTATAAAAAAAGCTATTTTCTTGTTTTTATTTAAGTCTTTCTCTTTTAAGGCTAAAGGAAGAAAGCTGTAAAAAGTACAGCAGTAAAAACTTCCTCTTTTTTTCTGAAAACATTTATGACATTAGCATTACACTTATTACATCATATTAATAACATGGAAAACCTATCTATGGCTCATTATATAATCTTTTATTTTTCTTTCATTCCTACTTCCACCCAATTTTTTTGTTTGTTTTAACATCTGTAATAATAGGATAGTGATATCAGGACATTTATCTGCTATTTTAACTAATAAAAAAGTATTATGTTGTTGATTAAAAATATCTAGTTGGGTGACAAGCAACTAGTAATAAACAGTACTTCTATTAAGTGTGAAGAATTTTAGACATTTCAGACCCTTGTGACTTCCTTTTTCACATGTCTTTGTAAAGATGCAGCAACCTACCTAAAATGTAGTAGGGATAATAATTGTTTTTCCCCTTGCACTTGTGTGTGTGTGTTCCCCTTGCACTTGTGTGTGTGTGTGTGCGTGTGTTTGCACACAAACACACGCACGCACACACACACGCGAATGAGTAGAACTTATTTTCGAACTTTATTTATTCAGTTTCTTTGGCTTTTCTTAATTGGTATTGATTTATAACTATATAAGATTTATTATTAATGTTCTTTAAAAATATCGTTATTTAATTTTATTTTATTTAGGGTGGTGCTTTATTGTCTACTACAAGTGGTCCAGGTTTTCATATGATGATACCTTTTCTCACATCTTTCCGACCTGTTCAAGTAATTTTTTTTTAATATAGTATTACAGATGATATATGATGAGGCAATGTGGGGTTTGATACTCAGAGTTAAAAAAATGAAATGTTTCAATTTATATATCTGTTTCTATTCTCAAAACATTTAACACAATATTAGTGTCAATTTTATTCAGACAACTTTGCAAACTGATGAAGTAAAAAATGTTCCATGTGGTACAAGGTTTGACTATATAATATATATTCGATTCAAGTTGTATAATTTTGTAATATATTTGTATAATATAGTTGTATAATATATATATATTATATATATATATATATATATATATATATATATATATATATATATATATATATATATATATATATATATATATATATATATATATATATATATATATATATATATAGAGTTGCAAAAAAACACGTTTTTTTCCTTTGGCGTTTTTTTGGGTCAAAAAAACGTGTTTTTTTGGTTTTTTTGGTTTTTTTGGTGTTTTTTTGGTTTTTTTGGTGTTGTATTGCTTTTTTTTAACAATTTTTCAGTTTTTTTTTTACATAAATTTTGGAATAGTTTTCCTTTACTCTAGTATAATTTTAGTATTTGGCCATTAAAGGCACAATTAGATGTATAAACACCAATTTAACATAAATTTTTTATAAAAAATATTAATTAGCTTTAAGTAAGTTATATATCTAGGCATACTGTATGAAAATGTTTATTTTTTGTTTTGTTGTACTATCAACTGTAATACTCTCATTATATATAAAATTTATTCTTATTCTATAAAAATTACCATTTTAATTTTGATAATGTAAATATATTAATGCATAATGCCATGCAAATATAATATCAGACTTTGAATGCTCAAAAAAATAAGCAA